AAGCTGATTTAGTGAGAGACATAATACAGTTCCTTTATAAGAATTCTAGTCTCCAGCCCCAGATAAATGATATTATATGGCACTGAGGAAATCTAGAATTGACTCTGGAATTCCTGTTGGTAATCATGGAGAATGAGTACATTGCCATAAGGTGAATGTCTTAGTCCATTCAGGCTGATATAACAAAAATACCATAGACTGAATGGCTTATAAACTACAGAAATTTATTTCTCACAGTTCTGGGGGCTGAGAAATCTAAGATCAAGATGCTCACAGATTCATTGTCTGCTGAGGGACCACTCCCTCGTTCACAGATGACCATCTTCTCATTGTAACTTTATATATAATAGCAGAAGAGTCAAGTAAGCTCTCTGGGGTCTCTTTTGTAAGGACACTAATCCGTTATAAAGGAGCCCTCATAACCTAATCACCTCCCAGAGTCCCCTACCTTCCAGTACCATCACATTGAGGGGTAAGGATTTCAGGATATGAATTTGGGGGGTGGGCAGGATGCAAACATTCAGTCTGTAGCAATGGGTAAACATCTGATTTTCACAAAAGAACACGGAACAGGCCATAGACTATAGAAATTAACCAACATTCATGAGCTTCATGTCAGTGCCTGGCAAAATAGGATTATTAAACAGATGGTTTGTGAGCACTTAGATAATGAAGTGTAGTGATCACTAGGAGCCACCATGAGTTCACCATAACAAATCACATCAAAATAACTTAATTTGTTTTAATAGGATTACTAGATTAGGGGAAACCATAGACTGCAATAAAGCATTTAAGTTGCTTGTTGTGGACAAGTTGAAGAAATGTGGTCTTCATAACAGTTTGGTAAGTATATTCATGAATGATTGTATAATCATATTCATAGCACATAAATTAATTATTTAACAAGAAGCAATATAGGGAGGTGGTTACAGTATAGGTTCTGGAACCAGCCTGCCTGGGTTTGAATCCTGGCTCTACCACTTACTATTTGTGACCTTAGGTGAGTTACTTCATCGTTTTAAGCTTCAATTCCTCACCTGTAAAGATAGGGATAATAGTATTGTTGTGGAAATTTAATGAATTGTCACAAACAGTAAGGACTTAATAAATACCTTTAATAAATATAGGATGTGGATTTTTTTAACCAGGAGGAAAGCCTATAATGACTTGCTATAAGGCTCTTAACCAAGCCTGTCCATTTTGACATTTTTGTCCAAAATGTAAATGAAGACACTGGAATTTGAACTTAAGGATAGCCCAAATCTGGCAGAGTACCAGCACATGAATAGCAGAGTCAGGTTAACAATAGACCTTCATAAGCTTAAAGATAATCTGAACCTGGCAAGGGAAAATTATGAAATCCCTTCTTTAGTTCTAGCAGTCAGTTGTACCTGCTTAAAAGAACTTCGTAAGAAAAAGACTTAGAAGCTTGAATTGACTACAAGTTCCATTTAAGCCATCACTTTTAAAATGCAGAAAGTAATTTATTGAACAGACCAAAGGAAGAAACAGCCCCATTGTGGGTTTGCTGTATTATCCAGAGCGTGTGTTGATACTGTATTCTATTCCATACACAAGTTTAATAGAAACATTAGTAAACTGAAACTGTAACCCAAGATAATGAATATGTTTGTTAAGAGGAGCTAAGAAGAACGCTTTTAACCTGGAAAAGGAAAGGTGAGATGTATATTAGACTGATCTTCAGATAACGGAAAAGATAATATATATAATACAGATTGGATTTATTTGGTAAGACTCATTTTGGAAGAGCTAGCATCTGGAAGACAGTTTGACAGTTTTTAGCTTAGTATTAACATGTTCTAATGATTGTAGCTCTTTAAAAATGAAATGGGGGCCAGACGCGGTGGCTCACACCTGTAATCCCAGCACTTTGGGAGGCTGAGGCCAGCGGATCACCTGAGGTCAGGAGTTGAAGACCAGCCTGGCCAACATGGCAAAACCCCGTCTCTACTAAAAATAAAAAATTAGCTGGGCATGGTGGTAGGTACCTGTAATCCCAGCTACTTGGGAAGCTGAGGCAAGAGAATCGCTTGAACCCAGGAGGCAGAGGTTGCAGTGTGCCGAGATCGCACCATTGCACTCCAGCCTGGGCAACAAGAGTGAACTCCGTCTCAAAATAAATAAATAAGAAATGGGTTGATTTGTGAATTCATAAAATCCCCAACCTTAGAAGTATTCAAGCAGAGGCAGGGTGTCTACTTATCAGGCATATAGTGGCACAGCTTCTGTATTAGGTGGGAAATTAGAACTTTAAGGTCTCTTCCAGTATTAACATTCTAGTGTATTTGAGGACTTCACTTGTACACACGTTGAATTTCATTTAGCTGCTTTGTCTTCTTCAATTAATAATAGTCATCTGTAGCCTATGTTATATACCTTGAGTTCCAAAATGACTTCAGTAGCAGTTGAAAGAAAGTTAGAAGAGTAGTTTGCTTGCCAGTCATTTTAACAGACCTATCCCATGTACAGAAGTCTTCTACTCTATTTCAGAAATGAATTAGCATCTGGGTCAATAAACATATAAGTAGCAACTTCTTCGGTGGTTTTGGAGTATAGCAAAACCTACTGGTTATCCATAGGACACAATCTTTTTTTTCTTTCTTTGAGATGGAGTCTAACTGTGTCGCACAGGCTGGAGTGCAGTGGCATGATCTCAGCTCTCTGCAACTTCTACCTCCCAGTTTCAAGGAATCCTCCCTCCTCAGCCTCCTGAGTAGCTGGGATTACAGGTGTGTGCCACCACACCTGTCTAATTTTTGTATTTTTAGTAGAGACGGGGTTTCACTATGTTGGCCAGGCTGGTCTCAAAACTCTTGACCTCAGGTAATTCGCCTGCCTCGGCCTCCCGGAGGGCTCAGATTGCAAGTGTGAGCCACCACACCCTGCCCCATAGGACACAATCTTGTAAGTCCGTAGAGATAGGAATACATAAAATCAATATTAAATAATATATTAAGTATGTCAAACATACATATGCCTGAAATTTCTATTAATGCTTAACCATTAAAAATTGATTCTTTCAGTAGTCTTTCAAAAATTCCCAAGTAACATAGCAATGATTAGCAATTTCTCAATTTGTATCTAATCACTATATAATAGATTTTAAAGATATAAAAACATGCCTCATTATAACAGCCTAAAATAATTACTTTTTTAGCATTTGAATGTAAATGATAAGGGATTTCATGAAGCTTTTCCCTTAAAATGTTTGAACATATTTAGAATGACTTTGTTATGTACATAGTTCTATGCCAGAAATCTTCATTACAAGAGCTTGGCAAAAATATGTTGCTCTTTTCCATTAAACTTATTTAACAGACTTTTAATATCATACAGAAGATATTTGAACAAGCTTCAGTTATAAAAGTACGCTTGCCCTTTTTTTCTCGTTTCTTTAGATAAGTGGGCACTAGAAATTATAGTTTTGGCAAGAGTTCAAGGGTTAATGTAGCAGATAAATAAAAGGAATTTTCTGTAAATTGAGACCTGCATTATTTCAGTTGTCTTGTCTTTCCTTACCTAACTCATTTAATTTTAAAAAGTAAATACCTAAATTCTTCCTGACAGTGTGCTCAGCTTTTACTATCGTTTATTACTTCAATTATACTTGATATCACTTAGAACAATCTGCCATTTGGAAATCTCAGTATAGCCTGGAGCTTAGTATTAGATCTGGCTGCTATTGTAACATGTACAGCATATGACATTAATGTATCAAAATTAGATTGGATCATCCCTCCTGGTTAAATTTATTTCACATTTCTTTTGTATTCAGTTAACATAAACCTATTAGGGAAGCTGACACATGGGGATGGCTGTATAGGAAGGATATTTTTAAAGTATTTTGATTAAAAAATGAAATTATGAAGCCATGGCTTTTCTGAGTTGTGTAATCTTTTTTGCTTTTTAAAAATGTCATAAAGCCCAAGTCTCACACGTTTATATTATTCAACTTGTGTATGTATATAAGGAGTTACTCCAGGATTAAGGAGTGACAGAAGAGAAGCTTTCACTAATTGGACTTAACTCCTCTCTTTGTTTAAGTCATATTTTAAGTTCTTTTTCCTACCCTATGTTCATCCTTAAGCCAAAATAAATGACATATTTCTGAAATAGAAATTGCCCGTATGTTAGATGATAGCGTAAATATTGATGACAGTTATCCCAGGTTTACTCTTCTAAACCTTTCCACCTGCCGTGTGTCTAGTTATCTGAAACTAATGGAAATCCCATGTAAGATCTGCACTAAAAGTCAACTCAAATGCTCACAGTGGCAGAATCAATAAATGCACTAGTATAATGAAATTTTATAATAAAATGCATTATTCTATAGCATTCTCTCTGAAGAAACTCAAGACTAAAGGGCATTAAGTTCATTTTTTTAATACCTTATCAGAAATCCAACTTCTGAATGTTTTATGTTTTTACAGTTTTAATTATCATAATGTTAACTCTCTCTGATTGCCAGAAACACCTTTGTAAGCAAGCACCACAAACATTTAAATAACATCTTGAGGGTCTAACAATTCTCAAGACGTCTATTTGGAAGAATATTTGAGTTTCATAGGCAAAGAAAACCTGGAAATAAATTTGTTAAACCAAATGTAATCAACTTTCTCGTACTCAATTGGGGATTATCCAATTTATGAGTTATTTACTTCTTTTTTTAAAACAATCTTTTAAAAGATCTGTTAGTGGAGAATTGGTGCAGTTGCTGGTTAAGGAGAGTATTTGGGCTATATGTGAATCTTTTTAAATCTAAGTTATCTGTTTCCCATTGATTATTGACAATTGAAATTGTCTGGTCTTCTGCAGTGTCTCCTAATGTTTTTGAATGTTTGTGTTTCATATGTAAAACTGATCAAGCGCAATTTAACAATTTTTTAATTTCGTTTTTCCCCTTTTTATGTTGTATGTGACTGTAGGACTGTACTCAAAGAGCTTTTAAAGCAGTATAAATTATTTTCTTGTTTTTCCAGTTGAGACATTTGGGAAATGATGAAGTGCACATTGTTTGGTCAGAGCATACTAGAGACTACAGGAGAGGAATTATTCCCACAGAATTTGGTGATGTCCTTATTGTAATATATCCAATGAAAAATCACATGTTCAGTATTCAGATAATGAAAAAACCAGAGGTAAGAACTCCTTATCTTCCATTTTAATAATAGATTTTGGTTCTATAGGGGTTCATTGGTTTTTTCCCATATTACAGAATAAAATTTGGAGTAGGCATCAAGTTGCGAAAGTGAGGGTAAATGTAACATAGACCCTGGTAGCTACATGGATTGCCTAAGCCTGGTTCAGAAGGAGCTAAAACAGAATAAATAGCAAGAAACTGTGTTCAAATGGGGGATTTGGCTAGGTAGTGCCAGAGTGAAAGTTCCTTTGTACCAAGCTCAAAAAGGACTTACCTTTTATTAAGAGAATAATTACAGTTTCCTGAAAAACACAGCAAGAAGTAACATTTCCTTTAGAATAGGAATATATGATTCCTATATTTTTAGTTGTTACATCTTATTAAGATTACATCATTATTAGTCATGTCAATAAATGAGGATTCTACAAATTGAAAAAAATAAGCCAAATAGTTCAGTCACCTATCCTATAGTTGGATGTCTTATATATACACCATAAAATTCAAACACACTATTGCAGAAATATTTTCTTCAAGGATAATAAAAATTTGGTAGTATTTTTGGTGTGTTCCTTCCCTTTTTTAAACTGAGTTCTTCAGTTTCTAGAAAACCTGCATTTGACAATTGATTATGAATCTTCAGAATTCCTTGAATTGTATTGTTTCTCATGTATGAATTTCTTATGTATGAATTTAGGTTTCTTCAGGGTTCACCTAAACCAGAGGTCAGCAGACTGTGGCCCATAGCCTGGTTTCATACAACCCACAAGCTAAGAATGTTTCGGTTTTGGTTTTGGGGTTTTCTACATTTTTAAAGAGACGTTTTTTATTGTTGTTGTTGGTTTTGTTTTGGCTTTTGGTTTTTTTGAGATAGAGTCTTGCTCTCGCTCTGTTGCCCAGGCTGGAGTGCGGTAGCGCAATCTCAGCTCACTGCAACCTCCACCTCCTGGGTTCAAGCAGTTCCCTGTCTCAGCCTCCAGAGTAGCTGCTACTACAGGTGCCTGCCCCCATACCCAGCTAATTTTTCTATTTTTAGTAGAGACAGGTTTTCACCATCTTGGTCAGGCTGGTCTCGAACTCTCTACCTCAGGTGATCAGGCCTCCCAAAGTGCTGGGATTACAGGCGTGAGCCACCACACCCAGCCTTAAAGAGTTAAAAAAAAAAAAAAATTGAAGAATATCAACAGAGAGAACATGTGACCACAAAATCTAAAATATTTACCATCTTATCCAGAGCTTATGTCCTTGCCTTCAGCTGCCATTTATGCCAACCTTATTCAAACAGAATTTCTAAGTTTTGAAACCGTGAGTGAGTCACCTCACAAAAATAACATTTAATTATCAAAACATAGATTTTTTTCTAGTAAACTATGTAATAAGGATTTTAGGTTCTGTAGTAAAGCTAGTGTCACACAAAAATAATGAAGAACTAACTTCTAGGCTATAGTGTTGACTTTTTGTATACAACTGAAACTAGCAAAATTTGAAAATTGGCTAAGTGTGTAAATTATTTACTCAGTTACATGAAGAATATAGTTCTTTTGAATAGACACCCTATAAACCTTTGGCATTTTTTGTTTATTGTCCTAGTATGAGTGACGCATCACAGAAGAGAATTGAATTCAAATAGTATTTTTACTGAAGGAAGAACTAAAGCAGCAGCAAAAATACTTTTGGATACAAAGTGTCTTAATTGCTCTTATTTACAATCTGTCTATAATTTGAATATAAAATTATGTTCTGATTTCTCAATCAGGTTCCCTTCTTTGGTCCCCTTTTTGATGGTGCTATTGTGAATGGAAAGGTTCTACCCATTATGGTTAGAGCAACAGCTATAAATGCAAGCCGTGCTCTGAAATCGCTGATTCCATTGTATCAAAACTTGTATCCTTTTTTTAACGTAATGGTTTCTACTCTAATGTATGTCTACTTACAAAGGAAAATATTTCTTATGTATTGTTAAAGCCTTTTATTTTCTAGGTTTTTTTAATTATTAATTTTTGTAGAAATGGAGTACCATTATGTTGCCCTGGCTTGTCTCAAACTCCTGGTCTCAAGTGATTGTCCCACCTCAGTCGGCCTCCTAAAGTGCTGGGATTACAGGTGTGAACCACTGCACCCAGCCTGATTCTCTATTTATTGATGTATAGATGGTGGAGTTCCTCCCCAATGTTGGAGCATTTATGATATTTGAATGATATATTTTCTTTCACATGCCTTTTTTTTTTTTTTTTTTGAGATGGAGTGTCACTTTTGTCACCCAGGCTGGAGTGCAATGGTGAGATCTTGGCTCACTGCAACCTCCGACTCCGAGGTTCAAGCAATTCTTCTGCGTCAGCTTCCCAAGTAGCTGGGATTACAGGTGTGCACCACCATGCCCAGCTAGTTTTTGTATTTTTAGTAGAGACGGGTTTTCACCATGTTGGCCATGCTGGTCTCAAACTCCTGACCTCAGGTGATCCGCCCGCCTCGGCCTCCCAAAATGCTGGGATTACAGACCTGAGCCACTGTGCCCAGCCCTCTTTTACATACTTTTAATCAGTACTAATCTTTTGGTTAATTAGAGTCTCATTATGTGTCAGGTACTCTACTACTCTGGAGTTGCAGAAATAATCAAAACAGTCTTTGCAAATAATTCAATCTAGTTGGGGAAACATACTATGTTCAGCATACATGTTTTAATAGAGATATGGGCAGGTATTCCAGAAGTATAGTAACAAGGGATCTCTCACCTGGATGGGGTGGTATTGTCAGGAAACACTTCTGAAAAAGTGAGGATTGTAGCAATTTTGAAGGACAAATAAGAGTTAATCAGGTGGATGAGCCTAAGAGCCTTCCAAGCAGAGAGAACAACATAATCAGAGACATGGAGGTATGAGAAGATGTGGAATATTTAAGAGCATAACTTCCAGAGCCAGATTGCCTAAACTCAAATGCTGGCCATGCTTTCTTAGCTGTGTAGCCTTGGGAAAATTATTTAACCTTTTTGAGCCTGAGTTTTCTTGTCTATAAAATGAGAATGACAAGAATATCTAGCTCATAGTGTTATGACAACTAATGAGTCAATATGTGTAAAGCTCTTAAAACAGTGCCTGGTACACAACATACACAAAGTTTTAAATTTTAAATTGTTTTCTGATATTCCTTTCTAAAATGAATTATTTATGTTTTTCATATGCTTTTTTTATATGATTTAAGACATTTTATTTTTTATAATAAACTGTAAATGATAAGCTTTAAAGGAAGGTTTTTAAAAATATCTTATGTTCCAGTCCACATGAAATAGATGTATTATCTTAATAGTCTACCATGTACATTTTCTTCTTTTGATGAAAATTGACTTAAGCAATCTGATTACTCTGTAATTTCTCATGTATTCTGACACAGTGAAATGGAATTGCAGGTGGATCATGGTATGTTACACTGATGAAGCTTAATGACATTTCTGTGGTACTTCTTTTTCATAGCATTTATATCTTCACTTACTTTAAATTGAAAACTCGTATTTGAAGTAGTCATTTTAGTGAAACGATAAGGACTAAAATGGACCTTGAATTGTTAACAAAAGTATAATTTGGAGACATCCACTAAATAGAGATTTATCAATTGAAAAGAAATTTCAGTAGGCAAGTTCAGTGAGTAGTATGGACATAGCGAGTTTATTTCTAAGTCACTTGTCTTTGACTACACAGTCTATTGATTGTTTGTGAAGATTATTTTGAAGACTATATTGTCTGTTGATTGTTTGAAGCATCAGGAGGAACTATTCAAGAAGACCCTTGAGTTTTTGTGAACCCTGCTGAGCTCAGCCAGCAATCAGTTTCATTTCCTTTACCTTTGGGGCCTGGAATCTTGAGTCTTTTCACCAGATGTGAACAAACTATGATTCATGAAACCCATACTCACAGCTTACCATTTATAAGGTCCACACATACCATGTGCCTTTTTTAGGAATTACAGGATCATTCCCTAGATACAGTATCTTTTTCCTTTAAACAAAACAAGGTGCTTACTGACAAATTCTTACTTTCCTAATCTACTTTTTCTAAATTTTTATTATTCTGATTTTTATGTCATTGTAATACAGGTTGGATATCCGTTCTCTGAAATTCTTGAGACCAGAAGTGTTTCAGATTTCAGATTTTTTTGGATTTTGGAAAATTTCATTATACTTACAAATTAATTGAACCTTTCTGATCTGAATACCTGAAATCTGAAATCCTCCAATGAATGCTTCTTTTGAGTGTCATGTCAGAGCTCAAAAGTTTCAGATTTTGGAGCATTTTAGATTTCAGATTTTCAGCTTAGGGATACTCAACCTGTACTTCCATAAAAGCTTTGTAGTTTTAATCTGTTTACTGGAGTATACTTTTCAGTTTGTTGTCTCTTGAATATCCCTAGAACAGTAGCTAATCTTATGTGGAATATACAGGTTATTACCCATAAACTTTATCCACTTTGTTAGCTTCATCAAGGATGTTTACTCTCTGACTTTTGCCTCTTTCACAATTCACTGTATCCTAATGTCCATTCTGAGAGTTAGTGTCCTCTGTCATTTCATTAAAGGTGCAATTGAAAGTGGAGTGCAGAGGTAGATATGGAAGAGTTTGCACTTTCTTGTGTAAATAAATGTCTTAGGTCTTTTTGGAAAGTGGTGAGATCGATTAGATTGTAATACAAAACTATTTGCCTCTTATGTCATAAAATAGGAACTCAACTTATTGAACAAGCACAGACTTCCTGACCTGAGGTACAACAACATTTAAGATGCACTCCTTACCAAGTAGTTTTAAAATGCAAACTCAAGAGTTTTGGGAATATGGCTTAATTTTTTTTCTACATCCCAGTTCATAGTCTTCTATTTCAGACTTCATATTACACTAGAGGTATATAAAATCTGGCTTTGCAGTTAGAAAGCATTAATTTTTAACTCAAGCTCTGCCTTGTGATCTTGGCCAAGTCACGGAATCTCCGAACCTCACTTTCTTCAACTGTAAAAAAGATGCTAATAACCATCTCAGAATTGTTGTGAAGATTAAATGAGTTAATGAACTCGGATGTACTTAGTAAATGTAATCATAAGTTACATTATTTTGTGCAATGATTAATCCTGTTATGTGTAAAGATTACAGTCAATATAAAACAAGTCTACCCAACACCAAGGAATTGCCTAACTGGGTTTTTATGTTTGGTTGATTGGTAGGTTGATTGATTGGGTTGGATTTTTCAGGCCTACTTCATCATGTTTTTAATAGCCAATCTTGCTGAGATGTAATAGATACCACATTGGAGAAAATTGACAAAAATAGTAAACATGAATACTTTATTTTAACACGAAATCTGAAGTTTTCTACCAGCAAAATTACTTCTGGGACACAGAGTAAATACATTAAATCAGGTAGATCAAAAAATTTTTCTTGACTTGGAATCTTGAGTTTAGAAACTACAGGAAGTTGTTTTCCCATACTATATATATACCTAGTGTAGTATGTATATACATGCAGCAAAGGCTAGTAGTATCTCTACTTAATACATACTTACATATATATATTATAAATATATGTGTATATTATGTACAAAGTTCTGTATTCTAAATGTTGGGGGGAAATTACTTCATACAGGTGGATGATTTGATTTTCAAATGAACATTTATAAATAAACAACTAGACATTTGTATTTTAAGATATTGAAATGCAGGTACATCTGTCTTAATTTTAAATAAATACTTGTTTCAGAAACATAATGTATTAAATTTTAAGATGTACATTTTTGAAATATCAGATTAAGTTATTAAGGAAAAAATGAAGCATTCCAAAATTGGTCAACAATTTAGTTAACATAAATTACAACAGAAATTGCGATACAAGTAGGCTTTGGAAACCAGCAGTTAATCCTTTACTCCTCATAAAAGAAATGAAGGGATTAAAAAAAAAAATCAACTTGATTATATTTGGGTAATTGTACTGCTGTGTCAGTTATTTTATGCCCAATAAAAGTACCCACTAAGATTCCACAGCATAAATTGTGCTATTTATGATCATTAAATACAGTTTAAATGTTATCCTAGGAACATCTTCTGTAACCATGAATCTAATGTTGTTCACTAAATGGGGCAATATTGATTGTCATATGCTACCCAAATCGATCATGCCGGCAGCCAGAATTACAGTAATCTGTCCATATTGATGACTGTCTTTCAAGCTGAAACCTCTCCTTCACTTCATTTGTTTCTTACATTACTTGTACTGGAAAAGCATTTTCTTACAACCTTGATTTCGTCAGCTAGGTACTTTTTTTTTCAGGCAGGGGAGGGGTCTGGAGCTTAATTTGTTAGTTTGATCATGCAATTAGAATTGAAATGCAACACTGGGGAGGAAAACCAAGCAGATTCTGTGTAACCATTGGACCAGAGAAGTATTTCAGCTTTAATTCTAGCCATCATTTATTAGCTACCTATTGAAAGAGTGTTCATGGTTTTTTGTTTCTGTTTTTTGCAGTGGGAATCATAATCCCAAATTATTAATTTCATGACCTCAGCCATCATAGATTCTATTCTTAAATAAAAATTTTAAAGCAATTATTTCTTTTGATCCTAAAGACATTTTGACTATGACTTCTGAATATACAAATGTTTAATATGACACTTTTAGGTAAATACTGTTTCTTTTTTTAAGTGAGATTTATTATACATAGAAATTTGCAGAATTTGCAATATATAATCATGTTGTAGTAGTGAGGGTTCTCAGAGAAACAGAACCAATAGGATATATATATAAAGGGAGAGAAAAGAGATTTGTTTTAAGGAATTTGTTCAGGTAGTTGTGGGGGCTGTCAAGTTCAAAATCTGTAGGAGACTCAGGGAAGAGTTGATGTTGCAGTCTGAG